AGTCCCCCTTCGTTAAGCTGGGAGTTCTCACAGGAGTTCAGAACTCCGGTGAGAAAAGTGTTGCTGATGTGTCCAAGCCTAAAGGGTCGAGCTCTGCTCCAGGAGGTGGCACTGGGATGGTGCGAAGCCCTGAGGTGGCACCAGCTCCTGCTCTGGGGAGGAGGCAGGAGGCCCACTGCCCTATCCACTCCCTGAGGGATTCCCTCACTCCAGCAAGGTGGGCTGAGATAGGAAGTTGAGGCAAAGATTCCCTGTGCCCCATCTCACAGCTGTGACCAGAGAGATGCTGCTCAGCAGCACGTAGTTCCAGGCAGCTCCAGCCTTGGAGCAGGAGATGTGTAACCAAATCCTCTCCCTCCTGTGGCAGATCCGGTCTGGAATCACCCCTGCCCGGGCACTCACCACCATGTGGTTCTTGGAGACCCAGCAGTCCTCGGGGAAGTCCTGCAGCATGGGCACCAGGAACTGGAGGCAGCCATCCCAGTGGCACAGCAGCAGCATCATGCCAATGAGGTTGAAGATCCTCACCACGGCGCTGGCCAGGTCGTACGTCATGTGGAAGATCTGGGGGACAGGCAGGAGTGAAGCTGCAGAGAAACTCTTCTCCTAGAACAGTCCTTGGAGCCTCTCTGCCCTCCAGCCAGACCATACCACACAGCCAGGGCCCCCCAGGCTGGCCTGAGACCCCAACCAGGGGACCCCCGAGGGGTTCTCACCTCCTCCCACTGGTGGATGTAGCGGATGAGGCGCGAGAGGCGCAGCAGGCGCAGGAGGCTCAGGATCTTGGTGAAGCGGACGATGCGCAGGGCCCGCGCTGTCTTGTAGACATCAGAATCCACCTGGGTCTCCAGGTCGACGATGAGGAAGATGTAGTCGACAGGGATGGAGGAAACAAAGTCGACCAGGAACCAGCTCTTCAAGTACTTCATTTTGATGGTGTGGGGGTCGAGGATGATCTCCGTGTTGTCCTCCACCACGATGCCTGTCCGGAAGTTCAGCACCAGGTCAGCCAAGAAGAAAGTGTCCGACAGCACGTTGAAAACGATCCAGGGAGGGGTGTTCTCGTCCTTGAAGAAGGTGATGCCCACAGGCAGGATGATCAAGTTCCCCACCATCAGGAGCAGCATGATGAGGTCCCAGTAAAACCTGCAGGGTGGGGATGTGGGGGATGGAGCAGGGCAGGGATGGAGGCAGGGAGAGGCAGGACACAGGCGGGGTTAGACAGCAAAACCAGGCTCAAAGTTGGAGTCCAGCAGAGCATGGAGAGGCAGGTGCTGAGGACACACGTGCCTGCCCACACACATGACTAAGACCCTGCTACTTGGCTGGGACAGATGTGAGTAAACGTGTGTGGAGAGGAGCGATTCAGCCCCGGGCCAGGGGTCCAGGGGGAAAATGTCACCTCCCGTGTGTGGGAGTGGGGGGCTCGAGGGGCTTGGCTGTCACTCTCATCTCCTAGTGACATGACAGTGCATGCACACGTGTGCCCCCAGCCCAAACTTGATGTGTGCCCTGTGGAGAACTCAGGGAGAATGTGGGCTTTGCTCCTTGGAGCTCCCGGAGCTCCCTGTCATCCGCCAGCTCCCTGCCACCACCCGGGATGGCTTAGCAGGATTTGGGATAAGCTTTGCTGGTTATGCAAACCGAGCCAAGCTCCTGGAGCGGCCGAGGGACTCGAGGAGGCTGTCAGGGTGAGCCAGGCCACAGCCAAGCAAGGATAGACAATGCCAATACCAGGGGAAGGTGCGAGGAATGTCTGTCTCCAAAGGAGCTGCCAGTGCACACCGGGCAGGAGCTGCACAGCCCTGGGCCTGCAGCACCCCTCATCCACCTCCTTTTGCTGAGACTAGATGAGCTCAGAGGCTTTGGAGGAAAAGCCAAGAGATTCCAAGAGCAGCTGGTTATGTCAGGACATCCAGCATCCCCGTTCATATGCAAATGCCCCTGGGATGTTTTCATTCTTCAGGCAGACACATAACAGCCTTCCTCCACCAGGCTTGTGATTCCTGGGATCCCAGCTCAGAGCCTTCCCAGGCCCCTGGGAAAGCAAGTCCAGCTCCCACTTCCAGGTGCCCCCATTAGCCCCAGCCCTGGCTGTGGGTGTAGACCCAAATCTCCAAAGGTGACCTCAGGATAACTCTAAGTGCTGGTGGATCCAAACCAGCCTTGGCAGGTGATGGAAGTCTCTGGGTGTTTCCCACCCTGCACCCGCACTGGGACACAGGTACCAGGATCTCTGCAGGTGAGGGATGGGAGGGGAGGGGAAGTCGTGGTGCCACAAGACACTCCTTCAGTAAGAGAGCACCAAAAGCTGGCAAGGGAGCAGGGGACACCCCAGGGCTGGGAGCCACCCACGGGTCAGGAGAGACCCCAGAGCTGGGAGCTACCCATGGGTCAGGAGAGACCCCAGGGCCAGGAGTCACCCCAAGGTCAGGAGCCACCCCATGGCCAGGAGCAACCCCAGGGTTGAGGAGCCCACCCAAGGTCAGGAGCCACCCCAGGATCAGGAGCCTCTCACAAATTAACACCTTCTTGCCATGTCCAGGGTTTGCTGGGTCAGCTGAGGAGACACCAGCTGAGGCAGGAGGGGCTGAGCAATTGCCTCCTCACCTCCACACTCTGCCCCAAGAAACACCACGTCCTGAGCAGGGAAACTGTCCCCATGGTGTCCGAACCTGCCCAGAGCTCTCGAGTCAGATTTAGGCTTAAGCTCTTTAGGACAGGCCCTGTCCTTCACTCAGTGTCAGGCCGAGCGCTCGGGGCCCTGATCTCCACGGCCTTTGTGTATCCCCATAATGTGATAAACACCGGTGTAATCCCCCCGGCTGTCCACCTGCCAGCTCCCCTCACGGCTCCGCTTGCACAAGCGGCTCCTGGCCAAGCTCAGGCTCGCAAACTTTGGGATGGCTTCCCCGGGAAAAGGGCTCTCGGGGCTGGCAGCCCTGGGTGTTGTGCTGGGGCGGTGTGGCCGAGGCCCAGCGATGAGGGGAGATGGCTACAGGTGCCGTGGACCCGTGGTGGGTGCCAGCCCCACTCCGAGGTGCCCCCCAGGCTGGGGACATTCAGCCGTGTCACAGCCTGCTGCGGGGAGATGACTGCCTGGCAGCTTCATCCCCCGTGGAGAAAGCCCACCCTATATGACTCAACATCCCCGTGACACCCAGTTCCTCCCACATCATCCATCCCCGAGCTCCCGCGGTGATCCCGGTGACACCGTGAGCCAGGCCCGGCTCCTCGCCGAGTGCCCAGCCCTGCTCAGCCGCGGGGTTTCATGTCCTGGGGGGGCGGCGGCTGCTCAACCAAATTAAAAACAGCATCGAGAAGGGCGGGAGGAGCTGTCGGGGGCGAGGCACAGCCGGGCAGCCCCTGCGTCCGCCTCCGCACGCCCGGGGCCGGGTCAGCGGAGCTCCCGGCCTCGGCGGGGCTGTTGCTGCCCCCGGGGCACCGGGAACGCCGGGGGGAAATGAGGCAGAACAGAGTTGTCTGTGCGGGCGGGATAACCGGGGACGGGGAAAGGGCTGGGACAGCGCGGCCCGGGGCTCCGGGGATGTGCAGCCGCCTCCGCGGCGGGGTGCGGAGCCCCGGCCACCGGCACTTGTTGCCCCGACGGCGGCGGGGCCGCGCTCAGCACCACGGACAGCGGCGGGCACCGGGCGGGGCGGCGGAGCCGGAGCGGGCACCGGGGCGCGGGGGGTTCGGCGCCGGTGCCGCTGCCGGTGGCGGGGGCTCGCGGTGCCCGGCCCGGGGGTCCCCACCTGAAGTCGCTGTAGGGGTGGATGATCCAGGTGCCCGCCGACTTCACCCGCTGCCGCTCGATCTCCACGGCCCGGTGGCTGCCGAACATGCGCAGCGAGAACTTGTTCACGGCGGGCTGCAGCATCGCCCCGAGCTGCCGCTGCACGAACGTGCCGCCCGCCGCCGCCGCCGCCTCGCCCTCCGCCACGATCTGCTCCGCCGCCGCCGCCGCCGGCGAGGCCGGGGCCGCGCCCGCCGCCCCCGCGGGCGCCCCCGCCGCCTCCCCGTCCGGCACCGGCGGCTTCTCCCGCGGCTCGGGGCTCCTCCGCCGCGGCGCTGCCGCCTCCATCCCGCCGCCGCCGCCGCCGCGCCTCACGTTTCCTTCAAACGCCCTTGCCCGGGCGCCCTGCCCGCCGCCCCGCCGCACATGCCCGGACCCGCGGCGGGCGGGCGGGCGCTCCGCTGGCCGCCCGCGGCCGCTCGGTCACACCGGGGTGGGTTTGTCGCTCCGCCGGGAGCCCGCCTGTTGCGCGCGGCGCGGGCGCGGAGGCCGCCGCTGGCAGCGGGGGGAGGCGCCGGCGGCGGCGGCAGCACCGGGAGCAGCGGTAGCACCGGGAGCGGCGAGGCCCGGGCGGCACCACCGGGAGCGGCGGCGGCGCCGGGACCCCGCGGCGGGCGGGGCGGGGCGGGGCCGGGGGGGCGGGGCTTCGCAGGGAAGACCACGCCCGCTCGGGAGTAGCCCCGCCCCGTCACAGGCTGATGGGCCCGGGAGGGGCGTGGCTTCGGTGAAATGGGCGGGGCCACAGTCACAATACCCAAATATGGTGAGCGATGGGGGTGGTTTGGGAGAGACGGGCGGGGACACTCAGTACAGGCCACGCCCCTCTAGTCTTATTCCACCAGGGGGCGGGGCTTGAGTGGCTGGGCGGAGCGAACCACTCTAGTCCCCGCCCCTCATGTCTAACCGGAGTAGGACGGGGCGGGGCTCCCGGAGGCGGTGGGCGGGGACATTCCACCCCTCTGATATAATCCTGTCCCACCACCGTCACAGGGACGGGGCGTGGCTTTGTGTGAGAGGTGGGCGTGTCAATCCGCTCTAACCCCGCAAAAGGACGCGAGAGGGGGCGTGGCTTATACTCTAGGCCACGCCCCCATCGCGTGTAACTCCTCCTCCTCCCCCGCGCGGCCCCGCCCGGTGTGACGCATCCTCCCCCTTTCCCCCCCCCGCGCGCGCGCCTTCGGGTACGTGCGCGCGCCCCCGTGCGTTGCGTTGCGTTGCGTGCGCGGCCCCGCGGGCGGCAGGACCCGGATCGGCGGCGGCGGCGGCGGGAGGAGGAGGAGGAGGAGCTGGAGCGGGGCCCGCGGGGCCCTCGGCCGCCATCACGGATTTCCTGTGGGACAAGCGCACCGGGCTGGCTGCGAGGACGGTGCGTGACGCGCGGCGGGCGGTGCGGGGTGGGGCGGGTAGGCCGCGGGCGGGGAGGGCCCGGTAAGCGGTGGGTCCCCGGTGGGGCGGGGGCACACGCGGTGTGGGTGTTTCTGAGGGGGGCGGCGGGTCCGGATGGCCCGTCGCCCGTCGCTGCCGGTGTCCCGGTGCTTCCGGCCCCGCACGGGGGAGGCCCCGCCCGCCGCCGCCATCATCGCGCCCAGACCGGCCCCGGTGCTCGTCCCGCCGGCACCGGCCTCGCCGCTTCCTCGCCGATTGCAGGGAGCGCCGAGGCCTCGGGGGGGATCGGGAGCCGCCCCGCAGAGCCCTGGGGGTCCCGAGCCCGTTCCCCCCGGGTCAGCCCAGCCCCGGGCCGGTTGTGCCTGTCCGAGCCAGGCCGGTGATGTCAGCGCGGGGCGGGGGCGGGGAGGTGGCCGGGGGGGTGTTTTGTGGGAACTCTGTGGGCAAAGGGAGCTCGGGCTCCTTTCCCGGCCCTGGCACGGGTTATTCCATGGATGCCCCATCCCTGGAAGTGTCCAAGGCCAGCTCGGAGCAAACCGGCCTGGTGCAAGGTGTCCCCTGCCCGTGGCAGGGGGTGGGACTGGGCGAGCTTTGAGGGCCCTCCCAGCCCTTTAACATTCCATGATTCCGTGATTCGTGCCTGCGGAGCCGAGGCAGGTGGAGCTGCTCTTGCCTGGGGAGCTGAAATACGCGTGGGGAGTGTGTGAGAGCTGGAGCTGTGCCATCTCACCCCGGGGGTCTCCTTGGCTCTGACCTCTCGTGGTCCCCCAGAGGGGCAGAGCTGGGGGTTTGCACTGGGAAGGGTGGGTTTGCTCCTGGGCACTTCCCACAGGCACAGGGAATTGTACCATGGAATACCCTGAGCTGGAAGGGGATCATCCAAATCCAACTCCCGGTCCTGCGCAGACACCCCAACAATCCCACCCTGTCCCTCAGAGCATTCTCCAAATGCCCCTTGAGCTCTGACAGCCTTGGGGACGTGCCCACTGCCCTGGGGAGCCTGTTCAGTGCCCAGCCACCCTCTGGGGGAAGAATTTTCCTAATATCCAACCTGACCCTGCCCTGACACAGCTCCAGCTGCTTCCCCAGGTCCTGTCCCTGCTCACACAGAGGAAGCTGCAGCCCCCTGAGGTCTCCCCTCAGCTTCTCCAGGGCTCTCAGCTGGCCCCTCCAGCTCTTCCCTGCCCTCATGTCCCCCCCAGGTGTGGATGTCACTTGCTTGGCACCAAACCAGAGGCATCTCCTGGGTGTTCCTGTTACTGCTGCACAGGGACTTTGGTGACATCCAGGGCTTCATTTCACCTTCCTCGGGGGTGGTTCCCTCCTCCCTGGGGAGCACAGGAGCTTAAGGGGACAAGGTGGAAGCCCTGGAGGTGCAAATGCTCCTCCTGGAGCTGTGGACTTTAGAGATGGGTGCAAACAGGGGGAAGTAACCTGGAAAAGATTTGATTAATGCGCAGAACTAGTTCCAGTCTTCTCGTGCCACTCAAGTGTTATATAGCACTTGGCAGCATTGACAAAATGGTTTGGGGGGGTTTTTTTTGGCTTCTGAGACATGTAAAAGTCAAAGTAAAAATTATAGGAGGATTTATTGAAATAGATATTTCAATTAGATCTTAAAAAAAACCCCAAAACTTTTATTTTCTACATGACTGGGAGAGAGTTGTTTTCCCATGACTGAACCTCTCCCATACACAGCAAGCACAGCTCCTCTGGGGGGTCCCATCTTGTTTTAGGGGACTCTGGGATCTCCAAAAAGTTCTTCTCCCTCAGGGGGATCCCTGGGAGTGGGGTCAAGGATCCATGGGCTTTGATCCAGTCCTGTTCCTGGGGGGAAAACATGGAAAAATGGGAAAAGATGGTGTCAGGGAGCCAGGGGAAACTGGGATCCTCCTCCAGGATTCATCCCCAGCACATGGATGAGACACTGGTGCTGCTTCAGGGCCTCTATCCCAACCTGAATGTGGGGGGGAAAACACAGGAAAAATGGGAAAATCCACAGAAACGGGGTCAGGGAAAAGGTCAGGAATAGGAGATCTATCCTCATCCCAAAACATGGTTAATAGGGAGGGATATGGGTGTTTCCCAAGTGCCACTTCAGGATCTCGATCCAGTCCTGCTTCTGGGGGAAAAACAGGAATGTGGGAATGGGATGGGGAATAGGAGCAGGGAAGAGGGGGAGTCCCAGGGCAACATCCTGGATAAATAGGAAAAATAAAGGCAAAGTTGGGGATAAAATCCATCCTGATCCCTAAAAATAGTTACAGGGAAATAAGGATGTGGATGTGCTGCTTCAAGGCCTTGATCCCAATCTGATTCTCAGGGAGAATGGGAAAAACAGGAGCAGGAGTCCCTGGGAATGAAGCAGGATCCCTGGGAATGGGAGTCATCCGTGCCCAGCAGATGGATGTGGGATTTGGGGGGATTTGAAGGGGTTTGGGATTATTTGGGGCAATGTAGGAATTTCAGGGCATCAGGGTTGATTTCAGAGGGATTTTGGGAGGATTTTTGGGTGGTTCAGAGGAATTTGGGGGTGCCAGGGTTGGTTTTGGGGTGATTTTGGTCACTCACATTCTTGTCCCCCTCCGTCTTGTGCGTCTGCACCGACAGCGACTCCGCTTCGCTCTCAGACTGATTCCCCTGCGTGTTCAGGGTGTTGTGGGGAGAAAAGGGGGGTCAGGGACCCCAAAATACACCCGGGGGACCCCAAAATCCCCTGGGGACTCCAAAGAACACTCTCAGAACTCTGGACACTCAGGTGTGCTGCTGAACCGGATGTCGTGGTCCCTGCTGAACCGGTCCCTGTCCCACGCAGCGGCTCCTGCTGTCCCCAGAGATGCCTGACGGGGTCCCCGCTGTCCCTGGGTGCCTGACGGGGTCCCCGCTGTCCCTGGGTGCCTGACGGGGTCCCCGCTGTCCCTGGGTGCCTGACAGGGTCCCCGCTGTCCCTGGGTGCCTGACAGGGGTCCCCGCTGTCCCCACAGATGCCTCACTCCCGAAGGTACCGCTCGTCAGAGCGCAGCAGCCGCGGGAGTTACCACGAGCGCTACCGGAGCCGCAAGCACAAGCGGCGGCGGACGCGGTCGCGGTCGAGCAGCAGTGAGCGGGACCGGCGGCACCGGAGGGAGGACAGCTACCACGTCCGATCCCGGAGGTGAGCCGGGCTCGAATCTGCCCTCCTTCGCCGCGGTTGGGCTGGGGGGGACCGCTGGAGATCACCCAGGCCAACCCCCTTCCAAGGCGGGGTCACCCAGAGCACAGAGAAACCCAGCCGGGTGGGTTTGGGATGTCTCCAGAAATGGAGACTCCGTGCCCTCCCCGGGCAGCTCTTCCAGCCTTGTTCTTCACAGAAACACAGAACGTTCTGAGCCACAAGGACCATCAAGTCCAGCTCTTAAGTGAATGGCTCACACTGGGGTTGAACCCACAACCTTGGCACTATTAACACCAACTGGGTTAATCTCAGGGTTCTTCCTCATGTTGAGGTGGACCTTGTGGTTTAGTTTATGGCCATTGCTCCTCATGCTGTCACTGGGCACCTCTGAACAGCCTGGCACCATCCTGACACGTGCCTTGGAGATATTTATATGCATTGATGAGATCCTCTCTTCTCCAGACTAACCAGGCCCAGCTCCCACAGTCTCTCCTCCCAAGAGGGATGATCCAGTCCCTTAATCATCTTTGTTTCTCCAGCTGGGCCTGGTCAGCCATGGTCACCCAGCTCCTGTGCGACCTGGGCCCTGCTCTGAGCATTCTAGGCCGTGCTCGTGACCAAACCCCCTCATCTTGCTCCCCTCTTAGGGAAACTTCCCTTTCCAACCATCCAGGAGCCACTCCAGCAATCCCACTCCACCACCTGAGCTGGGACTGAGGCCCTTTTGCAGTGGCAGCTCCCTGTACCCCCCCCACTCCCAGTCAGACCAGTTTCCTCACCAGCTCAGCCCCAGGTTTCCCATAGCAGAGTCCCAGACCTCTGGAGCCTTGAAATAATCTTGGTGCAGTAAAAAAATAACAGCTGAAGCTGGTGCCTCTGGGGAGGGACCCCAAACAAAGGACCCCCAGGGCTTCTTTTATCCCCTCAGAGTCTCAGTGCAGGAAAGTGTGGGGGTCATCAACTCCTGCACGTCTATGAGTGTCCCTCACCTGGCTGGGACACAGTTCCCTGTGCCCTTTGTTGTGCCATGGGTTGGTAGTTCAGAGCCTCTTGCCTCCTGGGGTTCCAGCCCCCAGAACTCCCACTGCTGCTGCCCCCCGAGCTGCTGTCACTGAGTGTATGGAAGGAGGAGATTCTCCCCCTCTGCTCTGCTCTGGTCAGACATCTGGAGCACTGCATACAGTGTTCCCAACATCAGAAGGACATGGAACTGTTGGAGCAAGTCCAGAGGAGACCATAAAGTTGATAAGGGGGACTGGAGCCTCTCCCCTCTGGAGACAGGCTGGGAGAGGTGGGAATGTTCAGGCTGGAGAAGAGAAGGTTGTGTGGAGACCTCAGAGCACCTTCCACTATCTGAAGGGACTACAGGGAAACCAGAGAGGGACTGTTCCTCAGGAGCTGGAGTGACGGGACAAGGGGAACGGGTGCAAATGGAAAGAGGGGAAGAAGTTTTTTACTTTGAGGGTAGCGAGGTACTGGAACGGGGAGGCCGTGGCTGCCCCATCCCTGGAAGTGTTCAAAGCCAGGCTGGATAAAACCACGAGCGACCCGCAGGGGGCTGGGATCAGATGATCCTCGAGGTCCCTCCCAACCCAATCCTCGGCCGTGTCTCTCCTTCAGCTACGACGACCACTCGGCAGACCGGCGGGCCTACGACCGGCGTTACTGTGACAGCTACCGGCGCAACGACTACAGCCGCGAGCGGGGCGGGGACGGCTACTACGAGCCCGAGTACCGCCACTCCTACGAGTACCGGCGCTCCCGGGACCGCGAGGGCAGCTACCGCAGCTGCAAAAGCAGCCGGCGTAAGCACAGGCGGAGGCGGCGCCGCAGCCGGTCCTTTAGCCGCTCCTCATCGGTGAGTATCCTGCTCTTGCTGGGCCTGCCCTGTAAACCTTTCTCTCTCCCAGGTGCCGAGCTGGGTAAGTAGAAAACTCACTTTCTAAACGCTCTCTTGGACTCGGCTTGAACTGTGTGTGTGTGTGTGTGTGTGTGTGTGTGTGTGTGTGTGTGCAGGAGGAAAGTTTTTGGTGCAGAGCGTTCCTGCCCGCACGTCCCGCTGCGCCGGCTGGGCACGGGGGGCTCAGACCCTCTCTCTTAGTGTTGCCCGCTCAGGTGGGAGGACAGGTGTGTCCCTGGGGTGTGTCCCTGGGGTGGTGCTGCAGCTCCTCCCGTTTGGTGATGCTCGTGGAGAGCTGTGTAGGAGCCCCAGCCAGGCAGGATTTGTGCGAGGCTCAAACAGCCGACGCTCAGCTGGTCCCAGTCTCAGAGAGCCTGTGACAGGTGGCTTGTCCCCGTGGTCCCTGGTTTGGGCTGTGGCAGGAAGCCCCTGGCTCTGATTCTCCAGAGCAGATCCTCCTGGGTGGGCTCAGCTGACGTGGGGTGTCGTGTGAGGGGCTTTGCGGAGGAGCAGAGCTTTCGGACCACTCAGCTCAGGTGGAGGCAGCGACCATCCCAGGCTCTTCCTGGCAGTGTCCCCGGCTTTCTCTTCTCGTCTGTTCTGCTGTTCACTTCTGTTAGACCCCAGACACGGTCTCTGCTCTGTGTGTGGAGCTCTCAGTGTTGTCTGGTCTGTTCTGGCTGTGTGTCCGGGGGGGGATTGGGGGCTGGATTCGGGTCCCAAGTCTGCTGGGCCACTTGCTCCCAGGTGTGGGGATACTTAGCTGAGGAACCGAAGGCAGGAATTTTCTCTTCTCTGGCATAAACCTCTTATCTGCCTCATCCCAGGCTGTCCCTGTTCCCTGTTGGGCTCTGCTTCTCTCCTGGAAGTTAGTCCTTCCAGGATCAGCTTCTTCGGGGGAGGGTCTGAGAAGAGGTGTCCGTCTTTCCCCAGGCAGTCACTGTAAACTCTCGGTTTTGGATGGATTGTTGTTGCCTAGAGCTGCTTCTGGAACCTCTGAATTCCTCTTTCCCTGAGTGTCGGGGCTGGGGGAAGCTGTGTGGGCGGTTGTTGGAGTGGGATGGGGGTGCCTGTGAGGGCAGCCTGGGCTTGTGCAGGACCTCTGGGCACCTGCCTCCCACTGCCCTTCCTCCTTGGTGGCCGTGGGGCTGCCGGGAGCCCCCTCCCTGTGGCCTCTGGCATGTTTAGGGGGTCCCCAGGACCTGAAGGCTGGTGCTATTCCTCTCTGAGCCCCCGTGGGAGCGAGAGCAGCCGGCCCCTTCTGTGCCCCCTCGGCTCTGCCCCACTCTGACAGCTCTGCTCTCACACTGGTTCGGGTGGGGCTGTTTGTAGGTTCTTTTTTTTCTTTTATTTTTCTTTTAATTTTTTTTTTACTTTTTTTTTTCCTTACTTTTTTTTTTCTTTTTTGCTACAACGAAAAGCGAAACTGTTTTTTTTTTTCTTTTCTGAGCTAGTGTGTTGTATCTTGACATGTTCCCTTGCAATATCCCTATCGTTATATATTCCTCTGTGCCGTATGAATTGGCTGGGAATCTCCTCCTGCAACCCCTCCTCAAACAACCATGTGAATTTCCAAACCAACCAATGCGTGACGCTGGCTGCTGCGCTGGTTTGAAAATCTGATTGGTGAATGATGAATTCCCTGTCTGCCTGGGCCAGCAGCGGAGTCGACAGAGCAGCAGAAGGGCCAAGAGTGTGGAGGACGACGACGAGGGGCATCTGATCTATCGCGTCGGCGACTGGCTACAAGAAAGATGTACAGCCAAATCGTAACATAATTTAGCTCTCTAGTTAAGCTCCCATCGCAGTCGCAGATCTGTCTTATCTTTCTGTTTCATTTTATTTTCATTGTTTATTAAAGAGAAACCCTCTCCTTTTCCTTCCCCTTTTGTTAAAAGCTACGTTTATATTGTGTATTGTTACTGAAGTGCCAGGGAATTAGGGCAGCTGCCTTGTGCAGCCGGTGTCAGCCTTCCGCTGCTCCGGTCTCTCCAGCTGTGTGCAGGTTAGGTGTTGCAATGCATTCTCCTCTGCCCTGTGTATCGCTGCAGCCAGGTGCTGCTCCCTCTCTCAGCTCCTTCCCTCTCCTTCTCTCCCTCCCAGATGAGATTATCAGCACGCTGGGGGAAGGCACGTTCGGCAGGGTGGTGCAGTGCATGGATCACCGGAGGTACGTGGGGAGAGGGGAGACCGCAGCTGGCAGTGGAGCCTTCTGGGCATAATGTGGGAGCCCGGGGGTGAAAATCAATCTGTTGACTTCCAATGTCCTCTGCTGGTCTGGGCACTCGCCCTCTTGGGTCACCTGTGTGCTGGGAGAGGCTTTGGGGCTGTTTGTGGGGAGGGAGAAGGCACAGCTTTGGTGGACACCCCTTAAAAACAGCCACCTGCTCGAGCAAGGGTGGTGGAGGCTGTGCTGCGCAGGGGAGGCTGGTCAGAAGGTCCCTTTCATAGGACACAGCCCTTTTGACCTCCTCAGGGCTCACTCTGTGCTTTCTTCCTCAGGGGTGGTGCACGTGTTGCTCTCAAAATCATTAAAAACGTAGAGAAATACAAAGAGGCTGCTCGGCTGGAAATCAACGTGCTGGAGAAAATCAACGAGAAGGATCCCGAGAACACAAAGTGAGTGTGCTCCTGGTGTTGGACTGGAAGGGCTGGTTCCAGGGGTGGGATGGAAGAGGTGCTTGGTGCTGTGTGGCTGAATGTGATCCTGGCTAGTGTTGGAGGCATCTTGCCTTGCCGTGGGGTACAGACTGAGCAGCGGAAGGAGGAGCCTGGCGCAGGGATGGCATTGCAGAGCTGGTCCCAACTGGAATGTTTCTGTCAGTCTCTGTGTCAGGATGTTTGACTGGTTTGACTACCATGGCCACATGTGCATCTCCTTTGAGCTGCTGGGGCTCAGCACCTTTGACTTCCTGAAGGACAACAACTACCTGCCTTACCCCATCCACCAAGTACGGCACATGGCCTTCCAGGTGTGCCAGGCTGTGAAGTGTAAGTGCTCCCTGCTCCTCTCCCTGCTGCACTGGGCTGACCTGGAGAGCTGTGCAGCTCCCAGGGACTGGGACACTCGTGCAACTGGTGGCCCAGAGCAAGCGAGTTTTTGCTGTTCTTCTGAGCCTGAGCCTTCCTGCCTCTCTGGGAGTGAATCCTGTTTGTTTTCCGAGGCTTGTGGGCTGGCAGTAGCTTAGGGCACTCCAGCATCCACCCCCCTCACCTTCTGGTGATCAATACAATAAGTCTTTGTGCTTCTGATGAAGCATCTTGGCCTGGGCCAGCCTGTTCACACCCAGTGCTAAATGTGGGCTAAAGTGGTGCCAGCATGAGCAAACTGAAGCAATGATGGCTTTTTGTGGCTGCAGCCTTGCTCTGCTCCTGTCCCATCACCCCAACTCTCTTTGCTTCCCCAGTTCTGCACGACAATAAACTCACCCACACCGACCTCAAGCCGGAGAACATCCTCTTTGTGAACTCGGACTATGAGCTCTCCTACAACCTGGAAAAGGTAACACACTGCCTGGGGTCAGGTCTGCTCTTGGGTTCTTGGTGTCCCTGACTGGGAGGGGAGCTGGGACGTGCCCCAGGTGACAGGGGCTCCCTCAGGGCCTGTGTCTTGCACGAGCTGCCTGTGTTCAGGCAGTGAGAAGTGAGCCGTGGGGACCCCAGGTGTTGCTGGCTGGCGGTGGGAGCTTGTTTGGGGCTGAGCTGTGGGGCCCCCAAAGCTTTCCCCTCCCGTGGTGTGTAAGGAAAGGCCCTGAGTACCTGTCTGGGAGCTCCTGGGTCACGGATCCCGTTGTTGCCTGTGCAGAAGCGGGACGAGCGGAGCGTGAAGAGCACGGCCATCAGGGTGGTGGACTTTGGCAGCGCCACCTTTGACCACGAGCACCACAGCACCATTGTCTCCACCAGGCACTACCGGGCCCCTGAAGTCATCCTGGGTAGGTCCCTGCCGAGGCAGGTGTGTCCCTCAAGGTGCTGCTCGCTGGGCTGGGAGTGCTGGGCCTCCACGTCGTTCAGGAGCTGGCCTGGGTTTGCCCTGGGAGATGGGAAGCTTTTATTTAAGAGCTCTCCAGTGCTGTTTTCTGGGAAGGCCATCATTATAGCCATGTCATTATTCTGGGGTTGTTCAGCCTGGAGAAAAGGGGGCTCAGGGGGATCCTTCTTGCTCTCCATGACTCCCTGACAGGAGGGGGGAGCCAAGGGGGGTTTGGGCTCTGCTCCCAGGGAACAAGGGACAGGATGAGAGGAAAGGGCCTCAAGCTGTGCCAGGGGAGGTTCAGGCTGGACATCAGGAAGAGTTTCTTCACAAAAAATGTTGTCAGGCCTTGGAAGAGGCTGCCCAGGGAGGTGGTGGAGTCACCATCCCTGGGGGTGTTCAGAAACTGGACGTGGCACTCAGTGCTCTGGGCTGGGTGACAAAATGGTGATGGGTCAAAGGTTGGACTTGATGATCTTGGAGGTCTTTTCCAACCTTAATGATTCCATGATTATCAGTTGGTGTTTTGGCACTGCAGTGCATTGCCAACGGGGCACCAGGGGCTTGGCTGGAATGGGAACTGTTTTTCCAGCTGTTTGTTTTCTAAAGGGAGAGGGATTTGAAATCCTGTGCCGTAACTGGATCATTTATTTAAACAACATTGTTTTTCAGAGCTTGGCTGGAGCCAGCCCTGTGATGTGTGGAGCATTGGCTGCATCATCTTTGAGTATTATGTGGGTTTCACCCTGTTCCAGGTGAGAACTCCGGGTGGTGTGGCTACTTCCCAACTGGTGAGAGAGGATTCTGGCTGATTCCCAGCACAGCCCAGACCCCCTGGGGCTGATGGAGGTCTCTCCATCACTGCTGTCCTGGAGAAGTGTTGGCCAGGAAGGGGTTTTGGGTGGGAGGAATAGCCAGGGCTGGAGGCAGAACCACTGGAATTTGTTCCATGCCTTCCCTTTACATTTCTCTCTCTCAGACACACGACAACCGGGAGCACCTGGCCATGATGGAGAGGATCCTGGGGCCAATTCCTTCTCGGATGGTCAGGAAGACGAGGTGAGCAAGGGCCCTGCAGGTGTTGCAGCCTCTCCTGCCTCACAGGCAGTGGTTTTCCCTGAGAGATCCCACTTTGGAGGGGGAATTCCCTGGGTCCCCTGGCCGTGCTGGTGCCCCGAGCCGTGTGCCCTGCCAGGGCTGGCACGCTGCTGTTGCTGCAGGGTGTGTTGTGCTCAGGTGTAACCTGTTCCCACCTGTTATTCCGACAGGAAACAGAAGTATTTCTACCACGGGCGCCTGGACTGGGACGAGAACACCTCGGCCGGACGCTACGTCCGGGAGAACTGCAAACCCCTGCGGGTAAGGAGGGTGGGCAGCAGCCCCTCCTCAGTGCAGAGATTCTCCCCCTGGGCAAGCTCAGGCCAGCAAAAGGCTCAGACTGGTGTCTTCCTGAGAGAACCTTGGAATAAACTAGGAAGCCTGAGTTTAATCTGAAGTGGAAGAGGAGGAGGGCATTGAGAGTTCAGGAAGTGGGGAAGGGCACGGGTGGGTGAAAACCTGGCAGTCTGTCCCAGATAGAGGAGCCCAGAGTTGAGGTCTGGGCTGAGGGATGGCCCCAGCTTAGCCCAGGGGATGTCCCAGGCCGTTCCTGACCTGTCCCCTCCGGCCCCCAGCGCTACCTGACGTCGGAGGCCGAGGACCACCACCGCCTGTTCGACCTCATCGAGAGCATGCTGGAGTACGAGCCGTCCAAGCGGGTCACCCTGGCCGAGGCCCTCAAACACCCCTTCTTCGACCTGCTGGGCATGGAGCCCAGCACAAAACTGTGGGACTCGAGCCGGGACATCAGCCGGTGACGCCGCCGGCGCCAGCCAGCCTTTGCATTCTAGCCCCCGTGGAGGCCCCCCGTGACTTCTTATCCAGACACTTGGTGCTTTTTTTTTTTTCTTTTTTTTTATATATATACATGAGAAGAACTCCCCTTTGTAAAGCTGTTAATATGTGAGATACTGTAAATAGCCCTGTCGGCCTCGGGGCAGCGCGGGCCCAACCTGCTGTTCCATGAGGTGAGGGGGGGCCTGTGTGTCCATGCTGTAAATACCTCTCTCGTCAAAGTGTTGCTTTGTCTCCTGTTCCTGCCCTCCCTCGGTGTAAATACTCCAGGAATCGCAGCTCTCTGTAGCTTATCTGTTCCCTTGTAAGTTATGGAACTGGTGGGACTGCATGGGAATTATTTTTTGGATCAATGTCATAGCCCATCCCCACACCAGAGTTTTATAAGAATTTTGTACAGTCTTTGTGACAAATAAATATGAAGTGAATAAAAAGCCACTGGGCTGGGTTTGGCACCGGCAGCAGCTGCTCCTGGGATGAAAGCAGATGCTGACAGGGATGAAAGGAGTTTTGTGATCTAGGAAACCAGCTCTGTCTACCTGCACCACTCCTCCCAAGCCTGCAGGGGCTCAGAGCTGCTTTTGGCCCTCAGGGCTGCAGCTGGACCTGGGCAGATGCTGGTTGTGGGGTCAGGCTGCCCCTTTCCTCATGCCCTGGGGTCAGTGTTGGGGTGGGAAGCAGAAAAAGGACAGAAGGGCCCTCAGACAGGTGTTCTCTCACCTGAAGAGCCCTCTCGACCCTGGCTGGGGTGGAGCACTGGCTGCTGGTGGTGGCTGTTGGAAAAGGGGTGTCAGGAGCCCACGTGGGTCCAACACCCACCCCAGGGCTGTCTGTGCCTTCTGGGCTCCTCTCAGCTCTGCAGTGTGGCTTGGACTGTTCCCTGGGAATTGCTGGGGCTGTTCCACAGGTGGGAGCTCACCTGTGGTGTTCGTGTGTCACTCGCAAGGCTGTTCAGAGGCTGAAGAGTGTGTTCAGCAGAGTCTCTGCTGAGCACTGAGGATGGAGGGGATGCTGAGGAATCCCTGCTGGGGAGGGGGGTCGCTGTGCTGTCCGCAGGCAGCTGGAGCCCGTGGAATCGGGGATTCCTATAAATAACCGGCCCAGGAGACACAGGAGAAATTCCCCAAGTGCTCCTCGTGCCACGGGTCCCTCCCAGGCTGTCGGAGCCCACCCGACCAGCTCAGGGGGCTCAGTGACAGCTGCTCCACTGCCGGGGGGACACACAGTCTGGAGCCGGGGTGGGGGGGTTGGAGGTGAGGCCTTGTTGGAGGACCTGCGGGAGGGGCCGCTGTCCGGCAGGTTGGGGACCTGGAACCCTGGGGGGACACGGGAGCGCCGGTGAGGGGATGGAGGGGGTCCCGTCCCGGTCGCCGTTGTCGCGGGAGTCGCGTGGGAAAAGGGGGGGGAGACAGGGACACCTCCCGCGTGGGAAAAGGGGGGGGAGGCGGGGACACCGGGAGCCGAGGGGCGATGGGACGATGGGTGTCGGCCCAGGGACACCTGAGGGTGGAGGGGATTTGGGAGGTTTTGGGATGCGCCTCACGTGACCCCGGGGACACACACACACACACAGAGACACACAGACAAACACACAGACACACAGACACACACACAGACACAGACACACACAGAGACACACAGAAACACACACAGACAGACAGACAGACACACAGACACAGACACACACAGAGACACACAGACAGACACACACACACAGACACACACAGAGACACACACACAGACACACACAGACACAGACACACACACAGACACAGACACACACAGAGACACACAGAAACACACACAGACAGACAGA